GATTTCCCAGAACCYGAGTGAGCAAAACAGTATATACCTGTGTGTTCCTAAAGCAGCTGTATGGATATGTTTACTKGTGAGTCTTTCTTTCCATCTGTGGCTTCATGGGCTGTTTTCTTGATTGCATGCTGAAGATGTAGTTAAGCTGTATCTGGCATTGATTCAGCAGAGATTTAAGCACATACTTAGAATTAAACACTTCCATTGCAGACTCTGCTTTGTGAACTCCCAGATATTTGCTTCTGCTCTCATACTATYGAGTGTCTCTGGTGAATATTCTGAGACCAGGACACTCTTTTTCATTATGGTGTATTTTTTTTCTTTCAGTCCTGCTATCTTTTTAGAAAACAGCTGTATTCTCCAACTTAATTGAATTCACAAATTAAATCCCAGTTGCCTCTGTAATTTATTGCTCAAACTCCTCTCTTTCCTCTGCTGMTTTTCTTCACATAGGATCTTACTTTTTCTCCTAAGAAAAATAGATACCATATCCTCTTCCTTCTGTCCTTTCTCCTCCACTGTCAGAGCAGCAGAAGTTTCTTGTCTACTTTCCATCTGTACCCTCTCCACTTGCCCCAGTGACCCCATGTTCTGTTCTTCCTCTTATTTCTTCCCTCCCTTATTMTCTTTCTTAACCTCTCACTGCTCTCTGGCTCTTTTCCACTTGCAATACAAGCAAGCATTTGCCTCTTAAAAATTGCAGTTTTGACCCTACTTGGTTCTTCATATCATATCTCATCGCCTATCTCTTCTTCATTCCTAAGCTCATTGAAGGCGCTGTTTATAATTACTGTCTGGAGACCCTCTTTTGTGATTSCCTCCTAGAACTCCTACACTTTGGCTTCTGTTCCTTGCCTGCAACTGCTACAGCTCTCACCAAACTCCCTGATGACAAGATCTCGGAAACAGTAGTCTATCCTCATTCTTCTTGATTTGTCAGTAGCGTTTGCTGCAGTTGACCAGACTCTTCTTTAAACTTGTATCTTCTGTTGCTCTCTGTGGCTGTGTCTTGGTAATTTTCTTCTTTCCAAGCAGTTCCGCAGCATGTTCTTCAAAGTTGTCTCCCATTTTGGAGGCATGTGAGGGGAGGTCTTGGGGCTCTGCTTTGGTTGTGATTTTAATGATCGACTCTTGTGATGTTAATGCCTTATGGGTTATTTCATACCAACAAATAAAACGAAAATGTAACAGCCAAATTTATATGTAGATAACAGATTACCTTTGTATTGAAACCTATTTCCTCACACTTCCACTTAGTGATTTGGAATCACGCAAGTGCAATTACAAAGCATCCCACTCAGCACTGCCCTAATTCTAGATATCCTGGCAACTACTCAGACCAGCACTGCCCTAATTCTAGATATCCTGGCAACTACTCAGACAAGACACATGATTATTTTTCCTCTTTCACACAGACATGTATGTTTTCTCCTTTCACACACTAGGCTCTCTGTACCCCACTAGCAGTACTCARCGCTTGCCTATGTGTGTTCCAGCTGTATGAATGACTCAAATTTTATCTCTTATTTCCTATAAGGATATAGYAAGACCTTTCCAAAAGGAATTCCACATGGCTTCATCTTAGGTGCCATGCTCTTCAACGTCTTCAYAAATGACTTSGACACAGGACTGGAAGGGATACTAAGCAAGTTTGCAAATGATACAAAACTGTGAGGAGCTGTCAACTCCATCAAAAGCAGGGAGGCCCTGCAGAGAGACACTGACAAATCAGAGAGCAGGGTGATCCCCAACTGTATGAAGTTCAACAAGGGAAAGTGCTGGATTCTGCACCTCAGATGGGGCAACTCTGGATGTACAGACAGAGTGGGGAACCAGATGCTGGGCAAGGTGGGGGATTGTCCCACTCTGCTCTGCACTGGGGCAGCCTCACCTTGAATATTGTGTGCAGTTTTGAGTACTACAATATAAGAAAGATATTAAACCATTAGAGAGCATCCAGTGGAGGGCAACAAAGATGGTGAAAGGCCTTGAGGGAAGCTGAATGAGAAGTGGCTGGGGGTCACTTGATCTGTTCAGCCTGGAGCAGAGGAGACTGAGTGGAGAACTCAGTGCAGTTACAGCTTGTGAGGGGAAGAGGAGGGGCAAGCACTGATCTCTTCTCTCTGGTGACCAGGGACAGGACCCAAGGGAATGGCCTGAAATTGTGCCAGGGGAGGTTTGGGTTGGATATCAGGAAAATGTTCTTCACCCAGAGGGTGGCTGGGCACTGGAACAGGCTCCCCAGGCTGTCACAGCACCAAGCCTGAGAGTTCAAAAAGCATTTGGACAATGCTGTCAGGCACATGGTGTGATTCTTGGGGATGGTGCTGTGCAGGGGCCRAGAGGTGGACTCAGTGATCCTTCTGAGTCCCTTCCGGCTCAGTTTATTCTGTGATTCTGTCYTCTGTTTTATGTCCTCTTAAAAATGCTAATCCTGATATATGTCTGGAATGCACTTTACTTTTTTATACCTGCATTTTAAGAATTTCTCTTTGCCATTGCCATCAACTGAGTCCTTTTTCTAATGCTCCTGTCCAYCCATTCTTCATGGAATCTCAGTGCTTCTTTTTTTCTTTTTTTCATATTGATAGTACCAAGTAATTTAATGTTATCACCACCACATCTCTAGTTTTTATTCCAACTCATGAAGTAAAAATATTACATAAAATTCTTCCAAGCTCATTCCTGATGAACTCTACTGAAAACTTGTTCTTTCATTCTCCACAGGACTTCATTGTCTCTCTGGTAGGAAGTCCTTTTCCTGTCAAATTCTTTCTTAATCCCTATTTTCTCCGGTTTAATATCAAATATCAAATGCCCAGATAGATTATATCTACCATATTTTCCTTGTTTAAAATGTCATTCTAGTTGCAATGGTGTAARTATGCAGAGAGTTCATAATCTCAAACAGATTTGTGTATTGTAGTAGGCAGATTCCTCAGGTCACCACATACTTTCATACCCCAGCAGGCCCAGCTGAATTATGTGAGCTCAGGCAAGTTTCTGCTCACTGGTGCGAACCACAGGGAGTATTCTGTTGTTCTCTAGATACCTTCTGGCCTGCCTTTACTTTTATTTGCCCTACCCCTTTCCAGATGTCATTCATGCCACATTATCACTACCAAATGCACGTCTTCTTGATCTGACATATGTAGCCATTAAGAACCTGTAAAGATATGTAAATAAAGGGAACATTAAGTGAGTAAAGCACTTACGTGCTGTATGTTTTGCATTTACTTAGTATGTAGTACTGTTTTTAATCACTTCATAAAAAGTGCTGTGGCTGATACTGAAAATTATTTCAGTAAGTGTATGCATTGACTAGCTCTAGGCACTGTAATATTATGTAAAAAGCAATCCTTTGGGTCTGAAATTCTTCATGCTTAGTTTCATTTGAAAAACTGTGTATGCATAAAAAAAATTTAGGAAATTATCCTGAATTGCTTTTGAGTTATGTGTCACAGAAAGTCAGGACAGTTTAACTGTTAACAGTAGCTACTTTTTAATCTTTAATGTAGATATGAAAACTCAGAATTCTGAAATTTAAACAATGACATCTAAGTTGGGGCTGATATTTAATGAATTCTATGGCAAAGTTTCAAAAACCTGTTTTTCATAATGACATGTAGGTAATTGAAATCATGCCTAGTAGGCATCTGGATTAAAATTATGAGCAGGATGTAATGGACCCAACCACTTTTGTAGAAACAAAATTCATTTCCATTTCTTTGTCAGACCTAATCAAGCTCTTTTTAGATTTAAGGTTTGATTCATTCTTACTGTTACTTCTAGTGAGCCAGCACCATACCTTCAAATAAGTTTTGGAATATACTCTATGTATTAAAATATAGACCTTTTCTTTGCAATTTGTTTTTGCCTGTTACTGATCCTAATTTCACATTCTATCAATCAGTTTCTCCTTCAACTGCAAAGAAACAATACATCCTTTACCCCATGGACCTTGACTACATACAAACTGGCATCTGTTCAATCCCTTTTGCATTATACAGTGTATAATTTTACATTATATCCTTCAGTGTTGAGCGAAAGGGAATGATGGGAGATCGATGAAGGCTCTTGTTCTCCTATTAAGCAGTTGAGCAACCTCCCACTGGGACTGGGGCTCTGCAGGCCTCTGAATCTGTTGTAAATCCTTTTGCAGTCACACTTTTGATTTTCACGGGATGTTTCTGGTTAGTTTAATCATATTCCTAATCAATTTAAGATAAACAATTAGAAGTTTCATTAGAATTTCATGRCTCTTAATTATCATTAAAATGAGGGAATTTAAATGGAATTCTATGCTAATAGAGCTTTAGGGCTGAAAAATGGAATCTTGATTGTGGCTTTCAGTTTTTGTAGTTTGTGGAGCCAATAGCTGCTGAGGGACACAGTTTGGTTTCTTGATTTCTTCTTGTCTCAAGGCACACCTAAATTACATTTTGCAGTGGAGCTGTAATTCTTTTGGGGCACTGGGACAGARATGCCGGTACAGAGACAGAGGGTGAAAGCTCCCTCATTCACAGTTCTTATGAGGTGGTGGGGTTGTCAGAAGTTGTCTGTGTCCTCGTGTTGCTCACTACGGTCTGGGTAGGTAGTACAAGGAAGAAAGTGATACGTTCCTCTGAATACCTCTTGAAGGCAAGGCAAGKTTTGAGCTGGCTCTTGTAACTTCAGAAGGAAATATCAAGAAAAACAATCTCCTACAAAATTGTTAACTTGGCTGCATTGCCAGTCCTTTACAACTCRTGACTTGTATTGAACATAAATAAAACTATAAATTGCTGTTCTGTGATTTAAAAGGAAAATGGATAAACCTGCTATTTTCATCTGATGTAATTTTAACTTTTCATTCAAATGTTTATTCTACATTGACTGGTTTAAACATTCAGTGTTACATTTAACCTATTTTTTGATGTAATATGGATGAATACATATTATATAGATTACGTATATATATATTTTAAAAAAACAGACCATTTTTTTTCTTTTAATTATAGGTATGTGTCCTGTGCCTTGGGATGCCCATATGAAGGAAACATTGCACCAGATAAAGTGGCAGAAGTAAGAGCGAACTTCTGGCTTGTTTTTTTAATGAATCAAAACTACATTTTAAAATGTCTATAAGTAATTTCCGCTGCTTAATCATAAAAATATCTTTAATTAATAAAATATAAGGAAAACAACCAAAAAACATAGCTAATGCTAAAACTTTGTGTATAACCTCCCTTAACCATATGTGAGAAGTCAAATGTGAGACTAATAGCCTATTTAGATTGTTACCACTCATGCAAAAAAATATTGTGTACTGTTTCCTCCAGCAAGCAGGTAAGAAAATGSTTAGGGAAATAGATTCAAGCACATACATCAGTGGACTATGGTGCATAAMAGGGTTTCCAGCACAACTTCTTGCTTTTAAATCCATTTTATGCTGGAATAAGGATACTGTGTTGTCATTGTGCTTCTGGTGACTGTCATGTGTTYGACACATGAACCAAAACTCACCCTCAGTGTGATTTCTTAAACTGATCTACCCCCTTGATGGAATAAGTTGCACCTTCCCCTCCCTGCTTCCTTTACCCATTTAGAGTAAAGGATAAGGAAGAGGATGTCTTAGTCCAGCCTTTTTTTTCCAGACTGAAACACAAGTGTWAAATTTTGCATAAAGACAAAGAGATCATCAGAGCTTAAATGGACCGTAAAAAAGAAAGTGGAGTGAAAATTCCAACAGGCTTTAGGCAGAAAGTGCTGGCCTTCCACCTAGAGATAGATTGCCATCTCTGTTACACTTAATCACCTATTTTGTTGATCTAGCAGAATATCCGAACCATTATTTTTTGATTTGTAGCACAAGCAGTTAKTCAACATTTCTCTGCTATATTATGTTCTGTGTGGGTGGTTTTCAGATCCTGTTCTCCTGCATCTTCTTCTAGTATACATTCCAGATGGAATTTGTGATAGGACTTCTCCCACAGCTGCCACATATACTCACACTCCTTAAAAAAAAAAAATAGCTAATTTGAAAGGTACTCAATATTTCTGAATTTATTTGTTTTAATATGAAGTGAGGGTTASAAGTGACACAGCTTTAGTTAGAGCAGTGCTGACATACTGCTTACTATGTTCCTCAACAGGATTCTTTCCACAAGTTGCTTGTTTGTTAACTACTCTCCTTGCACAGAAGAGCTCCTTCTCAGTTTGCCAGTGGGATTGCTATTTAATGTTCCAGACCTGCAAATTTTTACTCAAACAGCAATTTTGTTTTCTATCTTCATCCTAATAAGTGTCTACTTGCATACCTTTACAATAATGTGTATAGGTTTATGAATAAAAGATATTTCATTAAATTTATTATTTCTATCCCTGATTCAGCAAACACTGATATATATATAGAAGCATCTGATGGGTTTTATGCAAACACATGCACAGAATCAGAATTATCAAAACTACTGGCTGAATTGGTAAACTCTTCAGAGAGCTATTGCTCTGGTCATCATCATTTTGGACTGGGAGCATTTTGACTCTCTTGACTGTGACTGCTTAAGCACTTACCATTTTGTGGATTGTAAAATTCAACTTTAGGCAAATAAAGCTTGAAAGTTGTTGGAAACACTGTATAAYATCCTTCAAGGCAGTTGTGTAATTCATTATTTTCCTGTCATATGCTTGGCTGTTTTTGTCTTTCTGCCTGCCTAGTTCCCTCCTTAGCTTTCTTTTAACCTAAAGCTGCAGATTCACTTAGAGATTTTCCAGGACAAATTCTGATCAAACTACAGAAAATTTACCTGCTCCTGTTTGAATATTCTTGGATCATTGAACTTTCCCTTACAGCACAAGAACTGCAGGTCTTGCTTAAAAAAATATTTTCGTTGCTTAAAATAATTTCTAACTCAATTATGATATTTTGTATTTTATATATATATATATATATATATTTTTATATATTATTTCCAGGAGTAGGACTGTTCACATGCCTAAGGGGTTGCAGTGCTGGGTCACCAATTCCCGTTTTGATCAATGCTTGGTGTCAGGGCACCATTCCCAACGGCAGTAGCACAAGACTCATGCATAGTAAAACTGCTCAGTGGTGCAGAACACAACCCTGTTCAATCACCAAAGCTGAAAGCTCATAATCGCATCCTGATTACATTTTAAAAACAGTGTGTTCTCYTCACACCCTCATCCCAAAAATCCACATTGAAAACTTACAAAAATATAACTAATAGGCTGCCTTCTACTATTGTAGAACAGAAAATTCAGTACCAAAAACTCCCATCAGCTTCCAAGCATGTTTATTCTTCCTGAAATTAAATATAGATCTCTTTTTGAGCATCACTTTAAGGTTACAGCATGACAAGTTAACAGTGATGCTCAGCTTGTTAACAGTTTMATCTTCTCTCATCTTTCAGAACATTGTATTCAGGAAGCTGAAAGACSTAGGGACTAAGTATGAAAAAGAAGTGAATGCAATATGATTTCTTGCAGTTTATATAGTCCAAGTTGTGATTAAAATGCTCATCTAGAAAAGCTTTGAATCATGAATTAAAAAGAATGGGGTTGGAAAATGCAGTAATGTTCTCTGCACTGATCATAAAGAAAAAGTAAGGTTTGGAGTTTAACTGGATGTAATCCGCCACTAGCTGCAGATTATCCTTTTTTTTCTTTTTTCTTACAACAGTAGTCTAGTTAAAATGCCTGCCATGTWTCATGTTGATGATATTAAAATATGCTGTGAGATTAATCCCATTTGCATTCTGGTGAATATCCCTTTCTTAAAACACATGTTGAATTTATGTGTATATGAACCAGTGAGACTGCCTTTAAAGCACAGTTTTACCACATTTGCAATAGTCATAGCACTTCCAAGTCTTAAACAGGGTGATTCAGACTATTTGAAGTTTTTTTCAGCTGTTCTTTGATTTAAGTGAACAGCAATATTAATCCAGTGCTTCCGAGACTGCTGGTGCAGCACTTTGTCAGCTTCCTCAGACATGCTCACAGCAATCCCAGTGATGAAGTACTGGAATTGTTTTAACAGCAGACTGCAGTGTGACTGAAGATGTCTTGGAAAAGGGTTGTATTTTTTCATTTCTGAACAGTTAGTTTCTAGACTGGGATTCTGTTCCAGTAGAGTGGTCTTTGGGATCTTTCATACTCAATGGGGAATCCTAAAGGGGACAAACATATTGAGCAGCTGAAAATAAGGTGGAACCTTTCCAAAAGAATCCAACAAAAATAAGATGGAAAGATCCTGCATTCAATTCCTGAAGCAATATTTTCAGTGAAAACATGATTTTGTGCTTCTGAATGTGTTTCTCTCYATACAAAAGTTATGGAGCCAGACCTCAGTTCTCACTCATGTAAAGAACTCCTCAGAGACATAACTGCAGAAATATTTAGGGATCTACTTACATAAATAAGATCTATTTGTATATGGTTTTGTTTGATATTAAGAAAATTTTTAAAATGTAAGGACTAGAATGTTAATTACGTTGCAGTTTTRCTTTGTTAGTATATTAATATTTGGTTTCATGGAAAGCAAGCAAACTTGATATTGCAAAATTATTATGGACTTCGACATGTTGAAATTTCARTTTTCATTGGATTTTTTAAGTGCCAAGAGAAAGAAAAAGCAGGCTTTTTGTTAATTGTTTATTGTTTTAGTTGGCTCCATGTAATATGCAAACAAAAGGACAAGTCTTTACCCTGCACAGCTTGTAAGATGAAAAGTACATGGAGAAAAGCAAACAGCTGGGATGTCTCCAGAGGGAAGAAAATGTTAGGAAAGATCTTGACAGAAACTTAATTCTTAATGTTAAAATTGTACTTATTTGGATTCTGTGGGAGAGTCAAAAAGCAGGTTTTGCTATTCCATGTAGAGAAAATAGCAGAACTATAATTTTAAAATAAAGATCTGTGGGATGTTCTTCAGTGGCAGTTTTAAGAATGAATAGAGGGTGTCTGATAAAACCTGTACAGAAGTATTTCCTTTATGATGTATGTTCTTGACCCTATTTTATACTCTTTGATCTTGATCTCTTGGTGTTTTTCTGTTTCTAATCAGGTGTCTAAACGGCTGTACAGTATGGGCTGTTATGAAATCTCTCTGGGAGATACAATTGGTGTGGGGACTCCTGGAAGTATGAAAAAAATGTTGGAAGCTGTTATGAAAGAAATTCCTCTGAGTGCTCTTGCTGTTCACTGTCATGACACATATGGCCAGGCATTAGCCAATATCCTCACAGCTATACAGGTAACTTGTTTTCTCATTTTAGGTACACAATAATAGCATTCTTATTTTAATTCAATATGCAATTAAAAAAAAATCCCTTACAGAAATCATTAGAAGAGCAAAAAGGCACTCACTAAACTTTAGGAAAGTATTGCTCATACATCCGATTGTTGGCTGGTATTATTGCTGTTGCTTTTGCCAGGAAATGTCAAACCTTATCTATTCATTACTTTCAATTCCATACAAAATGACTAAGAAACAGTTACGTTTATTACATTTCATGGAAATTTTTTTCTGATATCTCAGATTCCAGTTTTCTTAGAAACAGCTGTATTTTGTTTTCCACTAAACTAAAATTTCTRTTTTACAGAGGTGTCTAAATATGAAATGGAACACTACATAATTACATCTCAATTTCAGATGGATAAATTTAAAATATTGGCAGTTATGTGCACAGAATTGTCTAGATAATTTTATTACTGTTGATATGTCTTCATTATTCTTTTTTGTTTATCAGTTATACCTTCCAAGTAAGATTAGCAACAACTTTATATTTTATTTAACAGCTTTCAAATCAGTGCCTAAATAAGCAGAGTAAATTTCCATTTTTTTTCAAAGAAAAAAGAAATTTTTCTACCTTATGTTGATACATTTTTCAGAATGGGACACAATGCAGAAAACAGTCTGCAAGTTCTAATGTAGATTTTGTAAAGATATAATCTTGAGAAGTATCTTAATATGCACATGCCTTCCTAAGAAGTCCTACATTTACTAAGTATTGCAGAATCAAAAGCTGTTTACAAGTTATAGTTCTTTATATACACAAATTTATATAAAAAGTTCTTTATACATACAAATATATATACTATATTACAAATATAGTTCTTTATTGTTCTATTTTATACTTAATGACATCTTCTGTTTTCTTTCAATTGAGGTAGCCATTTTGAGGGTCAAACTTTCCTTTGTCTGACTTGTTATTTTGGCAGAGCTCATATTATGTTATTTAGATATATTTGTATTAATGGTATTAGTGGTATTAGCTATAAGAAGGAAAAAGGAAAGTTTCAATATGGGAATCTGCAGGTATTTGATTAAACAGAGAATGACAAAATATGGTAAAAAATGTTCTAGCTTTTACTCACAGCATTCACTATTCACCCTTACTCACTTTTACTGTTGCAAATATGTGTGTGTCTATGTACCATGGGATAAATAAATTGCTAATTTCACAGTTAGCTTCAGTTGCAGATGCAATAGCTAAAAGCATGAAAACCCTTGAGCATGGGAGGAGTTGGCAATAAAAATACTTGAAGCATTGTTTTTCAAATCCTTCCTTAAAATAATTGCTGTCATGGTGCCTACTAAAGACTGAGCAATGGCTATGCTTTGTTAACTCCAGTATTTGTTAGGATTTTTGTCTCATGTTTACCTCTTGTTCCTATATTTTTATTTAGTTCTTAAACCAACTGTATATGAGTTAAAGGGGRAAAAAAACCTCTTAGGTGCATAATGTGCAGTTTAGGATAATTAACATGTAAATTTAAGAGAGCAAAAGACTTCAAAAGAAATTTCTATGCAACCTTCTCAGATTTCTGAGAAGCCAGCGCTGCCTGAGACCCACCAGAAAACTTCCCTCTGTGCTCAAGCTCTCCTATGGTGCATGTCTAAAGGTGCAGTGGTTTTGGCTGAGCTGAACTTGTSATAGATTTTGCCAAAAGTCCATGATGAAGCAGGCATTACACAGTCTCTCTGACTGGCTTTGTGCAGGCAGCTCTTTGGCTCACTTAAAGGAAGGTCCCCAGACTTTTGCATCCTCAAACAGGATCTGCACGTCACAACGTCCTCTCTTGTCTCTGGTCAAAAAACCAGGGCAGCTAACAGTGAATTATAGCCAAACAACATTCCTTCTAAAACAAGACAACTTTTACAGGTCAACTGTGTGGTGAAGTGCTAAAGSCAGTGGATCAGAGTGCCCAGGTCGCTTCTAGTCCCTGCTGTCAGGCTTGCCTGTGCTTTCCTTTCTGCCAAACACATAGGAGTGGCAGAGCACTGGAATAAAACCCCTCGTCTTCAACTCAGCTGCTGTTTCATAAAACAAACTCTTCTCAGACACAATTCCTTTCCCTTCCCCCTTTATGGGTCTGTGTGACCGACACGACATTTCATCAAGAGTGAAATGCATTTGGGGGGTCATAAAAATAATAGGCCAGAGTTATTGTTTGAAAACAAGTTTAAAGAACATTCAGCAGACAAATTACACTCTTCCTAAGGCATTGCAGAATACAACTGTGKGCAGAATACAATACTGTTGTATTGTATATTGCATTTCCTAAGAATTAATGAATGACAGCTGGAAAGCCACAAATCACTCTGCACTAATTCAGGCATTACTTCAACTGGAGATCTCCTAGGAGTGGAAAGAGTTGCTGGTGATTCAGTAAGTGATTTTTTATACAGATCACATTGTTTCATAAGGGATTATACTACCCAGAATATTTTCTTTCACTTGGGGCTGATCCAAAGTCATCTAGAACTGACAGGCCGTATCTGTATAAGAAATTACCAGGGCAGTAGTCTTGCAATTTAAGTATTCCATTTTATATGTGTTGTTTTAGCAAAAGGATAGGTAGTGAAAGATGGGAGAGAGAGTAGCCAACTTTTAAAGCATAAGTAATTTTTAAAATTGCTGAAGTGAATAATGCAGATAGAAAGGAAATTCACTTTCTTTTGTGAAAAGAATCTGTGCAAAAAAGTGAGGAACATGAAGCAGTGCTTCAGAACAAACTAGTAAACATTTAAAGTAGAAATGTGACGGGCTCTTGATTACATGGCTTAATATAAAACTACTGGAGTATAGAATTTACCAGAGACAAAATTCAGAGGATGGGAAGTGATGTGGAGATCTAGAGGCTATAGTATTTTGAGTAAAATTACATATGTGGGTTAGCTAATGTGACAAACACATAGCATAGCTTAAATAAGCATTAAAACATTTATAGGAAATGGTTACAGACCTCCAAGGAAGGGTAAAAAGATGGGTCAGGAAACTTCTTTCTGGAGAGGCCCTGGTAAGGTAGGCCATTGATCTGAGGAGATTTGAGTTTCATTAACATTTGACTCTCCTTGTGTGTACAGAATGGGTATGAAAGTTTTTAATGGAAGTGTTAAAGAACTCTTCTCCTGTAAAGCTTGTGTAGTTGACAGAAATAGATTTGTCTGTCTTCATAACATATTCAAACATAAGAGTATGCTGAGAGGCAAAGACGGTATTTGTGTGGCCATGATACCTGAATAAAGGATACAATCATATGGTATTTTCATAATACTTCATCAAATTCAAATCAGTATCTTAAATCATTAATATGAACTGATCCCTACACTGTGGGGATAAAATTCCAACTTAAAGAAAACAAGTATAAAACTCTAATGACTTAGAAGGACCAAAGATTTTTACCACTTTGTGTGGTCATTTCCACCTTATTGAACACAATGAGATGAATGAGATTGATTACATGCCAAATAAAACYAGTTTTTATTAGTTCTTTCTTTTTCCAGAAAATAGGAATATCGAAATAAAATCTCCAGAAAAAGAATTTAGCAAGCATTTAAACTTTCAAGGTTGAGACTGCAAAATCCAGTTTTGTGAGTACAGGTTTTTATTACAAACATTGTAATATATCCCCTTATAGAGAGTTTAAAATATTTGATAATATTTTATCAATTTCTGTAAGATCTTTGAATTTTAAAGATTAAATAAACTTGAAAGAAAAGTAAATCCAAATAAGAATGGCTGACTGCTGACCTCTTTTCTGCATCACTTAACTAATTTGATTCTAGTCTCTTGGTGTATTTTGGAGATGCTAACCAACCCGCATATTTTTGTGCATTCAGTTTACTTACGCAGTGAAAACTAAGTTCACTCAAAGGCACTCARTATTGGTCTGTTTGTTTTAACTGCCAGAATCAGGACAGGAATCTGAACATAGATGCTGAAGTTCATGGTTTATTAATTTACAAGGATCATTTTAGTACAGGAATAGGGTTCACAACAGCCCGCAGCACAAAATGGTAGAGCCTAAGTTAAGCAACTAAAAAATCCCTGACTTTAAAATTTCCTCCTCCATGATTTACAGGAACTTTCATACAAAGCCTTAGATAAGATGAATTTTCCACACAAAACTATTTCCTAGATGTAGCTGTCCATCTTGTCTTTTTTTTTTTTTTTTTTTTTTTTTCTTCTCAAATGCAGGATTTTCTTTTTATGGCTGTTGAGCTTGTTTGAAGTGCCTGTCACAAGCCCTTTCGGGTGCAGGTTAGAGGGCAGCTTCTTTGTGAAATCTCTTGTCCAGAAGCTTCTTGCTGCTAAGGATCCTCAGTGCAGGCTCTCTCTCCTTCGCTCAGCAGTGGCTTTAAACCTGAAGCTCTAGTGCTTGGCCCTTGCCTATGAATTTCCAAATAAATATATAGTCTGTAAGAACATTCTGTATTAGAAAATTCACTTAACATTTGTATCCTGAAGTCARTTCCTCCAATTTGAATTTGTCTGGAGCATTTTAGTAGATGTCCATAAGGATGAGGGCTCATCCTAGCTTATCCCAGTGAATAAYTAGTAAAGATAGAAGTCAAGCAAGTTAGAGTAGTGATAAAATAAAATACTAGTAAAATGGCACAAAGGTGTGGATAGCAATGGTGGAAGACTGAATGGGAAAAAGGCAAATGCATGTGTATAGTAGTTCCATATAAATTGTTTCTCTTGGTGATTTATTACCTTTTTACTGAATCATACATGCAAGCATGTATACAGTCACCATTAAGTCTCCTGATTTAAAAAGAAGCAACAGGATAATTTTCTTGAARTACAGTTTTATGAAACTATGTTCTAAAATGTTATAAGCATAATTCCTTTGGTTTCTTTTTCATGACATTTATGTACTGACCAAGAAGAAAAAAAAAACATCCACCACAATACCTTATCATTCTTTATTTGTAAGCAATGCTCTCTCTTTAGTTCCCTGGAA